TCCACCTCGGCCTCCCAAAGTGCTGGGATTACAGGCTTGAGCCACCACACCCGGCCTTAATTTTTAATTTTTAATGAGACGGAGTCTCATTCTGTTGCCCAGGCTAGAGTGCAGTGGCACAATCTTGGGTCACTGTAACCTCTGCTCCTGGGTTCAAGCGATTCTCCTGCCTCAGCCTACCGAGTAGCTGGAATTACAGGTGTGCACCACCATGCAGGCTAATGTTTGTATACTCAGTAGAAATGGAGTTTTACCATGTTGGCCAGACTGGTCTTGAACTCCTGACCTCAGGTAATCCGCCTGCCTCAGCCTACCAAAGTGCTGGGATTACAGGCCTGAGCTACCGCATCTGGGTTATGAGGTTTGATCCTTTTTTTTTTTTTTTTTGTTCTCCCCACCATAAGCATCTCTTAGAGGTTTGATCTTTATTTGTTTGTTTATTTATTTATTTGAGATGGAGTTTCACTCTTGTTACCCAGGCTGGAGTGCAATGGCGCGATCTCGGCTCACCACAACCTCCACCTCCTGGGTTCAGGCAATTCTCCTGCCTCAGCCTCCTGAGTAGCTGGGATTACAGGCACGCGCCACCATGCCCAGTTGATTTTTTGTATTTTTACAAAATTTTTACAAAATACAAAAAATGTTGACCAGGATGGTCTCAATCTCTTGACCTCGTGATACACCCACCTCAGCCTCCCAAAGTGCTGGGATTACAGGTGTGAGCCACCGCGCCCGGCCAAGGTTTGATTTTTAAACTGAGGAGTAGGTGGCATTGGAGAGAATCTCCACATTGACAAGGTCTTCCATTTGCTGACTGCTAGTCATAATATGTATCATGCATTGTCATTTGACATTCTTCCATTTCAAGTGGCATTGATTACAAGGTACACATGAATAAGAAGATAATAAGATATCAAATAATAGCTTAAGGGCTCTAAGACTATCAATTCAGAATTCAGAAACTCTTCCAGTTGGGTTGGGCCTGGTGGTTCACACCTGTAATCCCAGCACTTTGGGAGGCTGAGGCAGGAGGATTGCTTAAGTCTAGGAGTTGGAAACCAGCCTGGGCAACCCTGCAAAAACCCGTCTTTACAAAAAACAACAATTAGGGCCAGGCGTGGTGGCTCACGCCTGTAACCGCAGCACTTTGGGAGGCCGAGGTGGGCAGATCATGAGGTCAAGAGATCCAGACCAAGGTGAAAGAAACCCTGTCTCAAAAAATAAATAAATAGAAAAAAAAAAAATACAACAATTAGCCAGGCATGGTAGCATGTGCCTGTAGTCCCAGTTAGCTGGGAGGCTGAGGTGGGAGGATTGCTTGACCCAGGAATTGGAGATCAACCTGGGTAACATTGCAAAACTGTCTCTACAGAAAATACAAAAAATTATCTGGGTATGGTGGTGCACACCTCTGGTCCTAGCTACTCAGGAGGCTGAGGCAGAATGGCTTGAAAACAGGAGGTGGATGTTGCAGTGAGCTGAGATCCTGCCACGCTCTCCAGCCTGGGTGACAGAGTGATACTTTGTCTCAAAACAACAATAAAAAAGAAACTCTTAGAGGTGAAAATAAAGCTCAGGGTCATGGAAATCAAGGAGGTAGGTGATACTTTTCAATATTCATTCCTTTTTCTTTAGGCAGTCTTGGCTAACAAATATTACAGATCCAGCATTTATGCAATTCAGTATCATTCCTTTTTGTATCTATCTATGACTGAAATATTATGTTCTCACAAGAAAAGGTCAGAAGCTTCTGGAACAGTGTCTGAATTACATGAAGGAGCACAAGAGCAGTCTTAATTTTTTAAAAACTTGAAACCCAGGCTGGACTGTCCAAAGCAGTGTGTGGCTTTTGAAACAGGGCCTGGAGGCAGCAAAATGATCCAGTTGTGTTCTTTCCTTTGTCATACCTACGTGTACAGGCCTGGACTTCTCACGTGCTACAGCAGACTGCAGAAATGTAGAAATTGGCATATCAACAACCATTGGTCCTACACTTCAGCAGGTAGTTTTATTGACTGATTGATCAAGATCAGGTCTCACTCTGTCACCCAGGCTGAGAATGCAGTGGCACGATCTCAGTTCACTGCAACCTATGCCTTCTGGGCTCAAGCAATCCTGCCACCTCAGCCTACTGAGTAGCTGGAACTACAGGTGCGTACCACCATGCCTGGCTAAGTTTCGTATTTTTCTGTAGATACAGGGTTTCACCACATTGCCCAGGCTGGTCTTGAACTCTTGAGTTCAAACAATCCCCCTGCCTTGGCCTCCTAAATTATGGAGATTATAGGTGTCAGCCACCATGCCTAGCCTCACAAAATATTTAACTCATATACTTTGTGATTCTAAAATACTATTTCTGAGGATATATGTTTGCATACACATATGTATACATGCAAGGCTGTTCACTGCAGTATGTATGTGCAAGATGTTCATCGCGGCATTGTTTATAATAGCCAAAGATTGGTCACAACTTAAATTTGTATTAATAGGGGCCCTGTTAAATACTTTATAGTGAATCCATACAGTGAAATTCTTTGCAATATTAAAAAAAAATAATAAGCCTTTAGGTCCCAATGTGGAGACATCCAAATTATGTTAAGGGAAAAAGGTTTGTAGGACAGTATACATAAAATCACCTTTTTTTCCTTAAAAAGGGACATACACATATAGAGGTACACACATACATACACACATGACGTACACATAACTCCATTTTGAAAGGTTACAAGTTATTTCTTGGCAATAGGATTGGGAGGATGTAGAATGAGGTAGGTAGAATGACTTTTTTATGCTTTTCACTTTATATTCTTCCTTACAATCGGAACTATGTTTTTTAGCCACCGCGCCTGGCCTAATATAGCATTTTAGATAGTGACTGATGCTATGAAAAAATATTACCAGACAATAGGAAAGAGTGTGGTGGGTGCTACTTTAGGCTTGTCCTAGTAGGCTTCCTAAACGGGAGCTATCTGAGGAAAGAGGGGGAGGAAAAGCTTGCAGAGAGAGCAGATAGGGGCAGGAAAGAGCCTGGTATCCCAGAGAAATAAGGCAAGCGTGTGTGTGTGTGTGTGTGTGTGTGTGTGTGTCCCAGAGAAATAAGGCAAGCGTGTGTGTGTGTGTGTGTGTGTGTGTGTGTCACGGGTTGGGGGGCAGGGCATGAGCCAAGTAGGGTTTTGTGTGAGAGGCGCCAGACCCAGATCCTACAGGGGTTTGCAGGCCACTGTGAGGGGGCGCAGATTTTCTTGTAAAGCCGCCTTCCTCTGTACAAGCGCACTCGCAGGCCAAGGACGACGCTGCCCCTAGCCGGCCCCCTCGGCGGCTCCAGGCCGGCTGGTACCAGCCGTGGGCGTGTAGGTCGGAATGGTGGGTTTTGCTTCTGTGCAGTCACCACCTGCCTGCGTGGCTGCCTTCTCCTGGGCGCCAGATCCCGGGGAAGCTCCGGCAGGGGAGAGGGGCGCGCAGCCGCAGGGGCGCCCAGAGATCGCGCCCCGTGGGGGTGCCGCCGCCACGCGGATTCCGGCAGGGGGAGACAGGGGCTGGCGCGTGACGCCAGGCGTGCACGTGGCCCGGGACTGTGCTTTTCGGGACAGGTGCGGGGGCCACCGCGCACGCGAAGGCGAAGATGCCTGCGGGCCCTCCGCAGCCTCACCCGTCGGGTTATCCTCGGCTCTGCGGGCGGCAAGGTGGTCATCAAGGTCATGTCCACCCAGAAAGCGCAATGTCCTGTAGGGCGTCAGGGTGCAGGGGCCGCTGAGCCGACTTCCCAATTCGTAAGCTTTTCTTTGGCTCTGACACTCGATTTGCCCATCTAAGAAATGAGACTCTAGGCCGGCCGCGATGGCTCGAGCCTCTAAATCCCAGAGCCTTGGGAGGCCGAGGCGGGAGGACCGCTTGAAGCCAGGAGTCCAGGCCAGCCTGGGCAACGTAGCGAGACCCCCGTCTCAAAAAAAAAGGAGAGGGACTCAAATAAAAGAATAGAAAAGCTCTTTGCAAACTTGGACACTAGTTGGGCGTTTTATTCACTTTCTCTACTTCCCTCCTCCCTTTGGGAGCCCCAGGTGCTGGAGTAAGCACGCAGCCACCCACCACGCCTCTCCGAGTCCACGGCACAGCTGCCGCACTTGATTTTGCATCCCCCAGGGCCGGTAAACGCCGGAAAAGCTCCCGTGGGGTGCGGTCGCTGGGTCTTGTCACGTGACCCTCACTCGGCTCCCCGGAGCTCGGGGGCAGCGAGTAAGTGCGCATGCGTATGCTTTCTATTCCACAACCCCCTCTGCCCCCCGCCCCCAACTTGGCTCGGATGCCACCACTGCTAGCTCTTCCCCCTCCTTCTTCATCCTTCCTGACATTTACTCCCTTCCCCCAGCCCATTGGTTACTTCAGGCAGACAGTACAAGAAACCAACCAATCACGATGCTGTTTTCAGAAGCCGGCACGCGGAACCGGTCGCAACCGACCAATAGGGGCCCTTGGAACGGTCGTGCCCCAACCAGGCTGGGGTGCTCGGCCCAGTGGGCGGCGCTTCTCAAGTCAGCATGTGGGCGGGGGAGGGCTGGGACCAGCAGCCGCAGAGGCGTCGTTGGCGGCGACGACGACGACGACGTTGCTCAGTCTTTGGGGTGGGCTCGGCGGCGCAGGCTGGGCTGCGCGCAGGGCTCGGCGGTCAGCCGCGGCGGCAGTGGGGAGGCCGCTGCGCCATGGGGGGGCGTTAGATCGGCTCCGGAGGGCGAGGCGAGGGGCGGCAGCGGTCATCTGGTCCGGGGCGACCTTCGGTCGGGCCCGGGGGTGGGAAGGCCTGGGGCGGGGGTCGTCCCTGGTTGCGTGGGGCAGCGGGGCGGGGCTCGCCGGCCGTCGGGGTACAGGAGGCCTGGGTCGCTGCAAGGAGAAGGCGCTCTCGGCCGCCAGGCCCTGTCGCCGGGCCGTTCGACGACGACGCTCCCGCGGGGGCCCCGCCTGAGGAGGACGCGGCGGCGGCGGCGGAGAGGCCGCGGGAGGCCGCGGAGGATGGAGGAGCGGAAGGAGGAGGGCGAGGCCGAGATCCAGGAGCACGGGCCCGAGCACTGGTTCTCCAAGTGGGAGCGGCAGTGCCTGGCCGAGGCCGAGCAGGACGAGCAGCTGCCCCCCGAGCTGCAGGAGGAGGCAGCGGCCGCCGCGCAGCCCGAGCACAAGCAGCAGAAGCTATGGCACCTCTTCCAGAACTCGGCCACCGCCGTCGCTCAGCTCTACAAAGGTGAGGCCGCCGCCGCCATCTTGGTGCCGCCTCAGCCCGGTTCCGGCCTTGACGGCTCAGCTGCCGCTTTGGGGGGCGGCGACGGCGGCGGCCTCAGGGGTCCCGGCTGGTGGCGCCGCGGCCCAGTTGCCCCCTCCCCGAAAGATGGCGGCGCGGGAGGGAGGTTCGGGGCTGGGGGGCAGGAGGGAGCCGGGGGCAGGCCGGGGCCGGCGTTGGGGGAGTTCCGTTTTGGTGTTGTCTGAGGACCCCGCTCTCCAGGTCCGGCCGTCAGGTGTCCCCCTCGGCCCGGGGGGGAGGGGAGGAGCCCCTGGTCACAAAATGGCGAAGGGAGACGGTGGGGCGGCCCCATTGTGCCCCGAGCCTGCCTCGGGGTGGGGACTCCGAGGGGGGCGCCTCCCTGCGCCGCCTATTGTCCCTGATCTGCGCCCCTGAGCCCTGCGGCTTCCCCTTCTCTCCGCCTCGATCCCCCCTGCCCTCCGTTTTTCCACTGGGTTTGGGATCCCGAAACCCTTGAACAAAATGGCGAAACCTAATATGGCCGTTTCGGAGTGATTGACGCCCAAATAACATTCTTTTTCTGTTTCTTTCTCTTTCTGTGTGTGTGTTTTTTTTCTTTTCTTTCTTTCTTTTTTTTCTTTCTTTTTTTTTTTTTTTTGGGCTTGCTTTTCAGACCGAGTGTGTCAGCAGCCAGGACTTTCTCTCTGGGTCCCCTTCCAAAACGCAGCCACCGCCGTCACCAACCTCTACAAAGGTAAAGATAACCTTGCTGCATTGCCGATTCAGGGAAGGGCCGCCTGCGTCAGGGTGTCTGCCCTGCGTTCCAAGTGTGTTTTCTGCTCCCCATCCCAGCTGCTAATCTTGAATACCTTGCAATTTGAGAATCCCAGTGGTGCTCTAGCTAGATCCGGAGGCGATTTTGACACCTCCCTCCGCCCCCCTCCCCACAGATGGCAACGCCTGGGGACATATTTGGTTGTCTTCTCCGAGAGGGGGCTGCTGTTGGCACCCAGTGGATAGAGGCTGCTGAAGGTCCTGCAGTGCCCAAGCCCCCCCATCGCCTCTCAGCGAAGAATTATCCTGGCCCTAAAGTCAATAGTGCCCAGGTTGAGAGGCCTTGAGCTTGAAGCCTTCCTTCCCTCTGGAAAAGACTTTGAGGGAAGAAAAGAGTTGATGTTTTTTTGTACCACAGTGGGAGATGGGGCGAACTTTATAGAGAAGATTTTTGAGTTAGGCATTTGAGAGTGTGGCAGTCCGATAGTGTTGAAGTGCTTGAAAGCTTGCTAATTGGACGTGCATGAGTGCTTTTCTCTAGCAATTCCATCAAGTGTTTTCTGTCAAAACGATCGTATATCTGGTTGTAAGTTGCCGGCAGGAGCTCTGATGAGAGTTTTGAGTCCATAGGTTTGTGTTTTATGAGGGTGCCTTTCTGGAGTTAATTCCCCCCTTTGTGATGACACGAAGATGTGTTAGTAAACGTTCTTGTCCTTTCTGCTCTCTTGGTAACGGTGGGTTTACATTTTGTGCCTTACTGATTAAAGATTGGGAAATTTGGGGTTGTTTTTTTTTTTTTTTTTTTTTGTTTTTTTTTTTTTTTTTTTTTTTTTTTTTTTTTTTTAAGACGGGGTTTCACCATGTTGATCAGGCTAGTCTTGAACTCCCGACCTCAGGTGATCCCCGAGTAATGGCAAGGTTTTTAAGGAAAAAGGATTTGACTTTGTTAATCTTAAGAAAAATGTAATTTAGCCGGGCGCGGTGGCTCAAGCCTGTAATCCCAGCACTTTGGGAGGCCGAGGCGGGTGGATCACGAGGTCAAGAGATCGAGACCATCCTGGTCAACA